CGTATGAAGGTTTATTTTACATCTCTTGAGACTAATAGTAACCCAATAGGATATATATAACGCAAATTCGTTACAAGTTACCTAAAACTCTTTTCTAATGTTACAGCTAAATATGTTAGAGTAAATCTTAGCAATGTGATCACGTGACAAGCATGTGACAAGTCTCACCCAGGGGTATTAAATGTAATTTGTATAATTTAGCCATGCAGATCCTACTATGGCTTCCTTAGGTAAATATCAGGCCGGTTACATTGTATCAGCATGTGTTCTGCACTTTGTGGATCTGTATCGTAAAAGTTTCCCTGGGTGTTCTAAAGGTCTGAATTCAGATTTATATTTCTCATCCACCTACCACCAAAGAATTAGTCTGTAAACCTTTCTAGAAAACGATTGCTAATAAGTAGTTTGTGAATAATTGTCGCACTCTAATTAATTCTCATAATTAAGTTGTACGCACACTTTATTCCTAGAGCTTGAAACAATCATATCTAATATTTTATTATATAGCAAGGAGACCCAATCTGTCATCTAAGTCAGTTGTATCCCTGTACCCAGGAGGTCAGTTTATAGAGAGAGGGGGGTGTAAATGCCAAATGTCGCCAACCTGCGCCGTTGCTAAGTCAACTTTAATTCAAGTGATTAGCAAGACACAGGTACAAAGCCAAGGGCCACCCTGGAAAGAATTGTACATTGCACCGAGGTGCTAACTAATCCAATTTATTGTAATTATCATGCTCAATCGTTAACCTCTTATGTGCTTTCTTTTTACCTGTAAGGACAGAGATTGCAGGGGGGTGAAGAATTCACAGCGGCTGCAATCCACATTGAAGTAGAACGTGTCTGGAACTGTGATGATTAGGTAAATTATAGCAAAAGGCAATTGAGAAGGGGGGCTATATATTATAAATATATTATAAGCAGCCTGAACATATCCCTGGAACCAGGTGTCCAGTGCTCCTTAAAGTGGCACCTACATTTTGAGGATGTAGTCAATGAAGCTGGCTCCTGAAAAGAATCCTGCTGGCTCCTGGATTGGACAGACTGCGTTCTGAATTCCATATTCATTTGTCCACCCCTGCTTTAAGGATTGCTGCAGTTTCACTCCAGAGTTGACTTCTCTGGGGGGGCCAGCGATCTGTGCAATGCACTTGATAATATATTGCATTATGCATTCAGTAGTCTGAAGTCTTTTCCTGTAATCAGACCATGTCATGTTCTCTTTCCTCCCACACACACACATACTGGAGCAGCTACAACCTCATCACTCACAGTCACTGGTGACTTACCTACCACAGCTCGCTGCTCCCTACACAGCTCCTTCACTCCACAATCTCCAAACGGGATCCTAAGTCTCTCTGCCTTGGCATTTAGATCCACGCATTGGGTCCACCACGTGAAGTCAGAGTAGGTCCTCCATGCCCTGTGTCCCAGTGGCAGTTTCACATTGGATTGCAAAGGGGGGGTTGTCAGTGATCTGCAGTGAAGGAGTGAGGGGGAAAGTTGGATGGCCAGTCCTGGAAGGCTTGTAGCTGCTGCCGTCCCCTGTGCTCACTAATCCCCCCTTCTGCTCTCTTCTGCTTTCACTCTTACAAAGTTTTGGGCAAGTCTGAGATCAGCCTCTGAGATCCATCACATTTCAGCCCTCAGTGGCTTGCTCACTAAGCCACGCCCTCCAGCTGCAAACATCCCGGGCTACTCCCACTTGTAGAACGTTCACAGTTGTAAAAAGTTCTATCCCCGCCCTCCTACAAGCACAGATCACGCCCCCTTCCACTCTCCGGCTCCTCTAATGGCCCGCTGTGTTTACTTCTGTTTGGATAGCAACTGGGTCTTAAAGGGACCGCTCTTTTTTTGTTTCTCACTACACAACCTAAACTGGCGTTTGCATCGGGAAATTAATACACCTCCCGTTGGTAAAACGAAACAAAAATAAAAAAAAAAACCCCCATCAC